TCTATCTATCTATCTATCTATCTATCTATCTATCTATCTATCTATCTATCTATCTATCCATCCATCCATCCATCCATCCATCCATCCATCCATCCATCCATCTATCCATCCATCTATGAGACAGGATCTGGCTGGCCTATAACTGGCTGGCCAGGTTGGACTCAAACTCAGAGATCCATTTGTTTATGCCTCTCAATTAAAGGCATGCCTGACTTTTTTTGGTTTTCTTTTCTGTTGTTTGTTTGTTTGAATTTTATTTTATGTGTGTGGGTATTTTCCTGCACATATTGAAATTGAACCTGATGCCCCCAGAGGTCAGAAGAGGATGTCAGTTCTCCTGGAACTGGATTTACAGTTGTGAACTGCCATGTGATGCTGAGAATCAAGGGTCCCCTGGAAGAGCAACAACAGCAGAGCCACCTCGCTGCTCTCTTATAAATAAACTTTTTAAAAAGAGAGACAAGTGGAGGGCATTAGAGGAGACAGTTGAGGAACTGGCCTCTCTTTGAGCTTCAGAAGTCTGTTCTCCTTGTGATTCTTCACTGCTTCCTCCTTGTCTTCTGTGCTATGAGGCAGTCAATGGAAAGAAATAACTCCTGGAGATTTTCCAGGATGAAAATCATCTGTGACCTTGACAAGAGTAGTTCTGGTCTAGCGACAGGGGTGAAAGTGTGACTGGTGTTAAATGGAGAGAGAATAGGAGAGGCATGCAGGATTGCTACCGACCCAGGGGATGTGCAGTCAGGCAAAAACAGTAAGCAAAGATTACAGAAGACCATGGAGTCCTTGAAAAACACTCATGCACATGTATGTATACCCATGAATAGAGACAGGAAAATATGTAACAGGCCCCCAGACCTTCGCACACTGATGCCATGTTAAAAGCACCAACATACAATTCTGATCTAAGAACCCAACAGAAAGACCCCTACACCTGCCAAAAAGCAAGCACAAGACCTAATCCATCATAGTCCACAGTTCTGGGAAAGCCCTTAAGTGTAATAACTTTGCTTTCTTGCTTTTTCACTTCTATGGCTCTGCTTATTGCTAACCATTTTTACTAACTGAAGTATGTCAACCAGGATATAAAATTTTTTGTGCATAAAAAGTGAAGAATGGTAAGCAAGTAGCTACACAGTTTGGGTAAGTTCCCTGTGTAGCCCACTGGTAGGTGAATAAAGACTTTCTATTGGCTTTAAGAGTCTGTGTGTTTAAGTAAAAACATTTTTGTACTAATGTGAATGATTCTGATGATGAGCAGGAGGTGGGGCTAAGTTCAGAAGCTATTAATGGATGGTTTTGTTATAAGTATTTGCCTCTAAACCTTACCTGTGAAAGTCATCACACACACACACACACACACACACACACACACACACACAGAGAGAGAGAGAGAGACAGAGAGAGAGAGAGACAGAGACAGAGAGAAAGGCTCTCATGAACCCACACTCATCTATACACAATATACGTATACACAACAATAATAAAAACAGTAAAAGCTTTTTTTTTAAAATCTGTTTTTCATTACTATAACAAAAGAAGGTAGACTTCTTTATAAAGAAAGGTATAGTTTGGCTCAGGGTTCTGGAGATACAGGCCTGGGAGGGTAAAGCCGACCTTGAAGGTATAGAGCATTAGCTGGCAAGAGACAAGGATGCTAGAACCTGCCTCGTGCCTGCTGATAAAGCTACCAGGATTCACTCGTGGGAATGTCAACAATAACTGCCCCCAGAGCCAAGCAACTGCCCTCATGGGGAGTTCAACTACATCCCTCTGCCAAAAGGATTTTTCCAGTGTGCTCTATTGACTGCTTACACCCCGACACAGAGAAGTAGGGCAAACTGGGAGAGCCTCACATAAGAATCTTGCACTACTACCATCTCCTGTATGCAACTCTGCCTTAATCACATGCAAGGGGAGTGAATGAGTTTATAGGCCAGAGAAAACTTATGGAGGGAAGCACAATCTATAAGGCTGCAGGGAAGTGCTTGTTACTGGTGGGTAAAAGCTCCCCTGGGATGGCCTATTGGAGGGGGAGGAGAGTCCACAATCCTGTGGGTATCCACTCACCTGTGTTCTGTAAGAAAACCCAATATAATCATTGGTTAGCCAGAGTGAACTTAGGCCTTTATTTTTTGCTGGGACATTGCTTGTATTTCCCCCTGGGAGGGGGTGGGATAAACAACAAGGGGCTCCATAGTAGTCAGAGTTTTTCCTTTCTTTTGTATACCAAAGTTTCTGTCCCGCCTAGTTCCATAGCTATTCAATCCCAAAGAAACACAGAGGTCTATATTAATTATAAACTGTTTGATCTATTAGCACAGGCTCATTATTTACTAACTCTTACAACCTAAATTAACCTGTAATTCTCATCTATGTTTAGCCACGTGGCTTGGTACCTTTTCTCAGTGAGGCACTCTCATCTTACTTCCTCTGTGTCTGACTGGTGACAGCATCTCTCCCTTTCCTCTTCCCAGAATTCTCCTAGTCTGGTTGCCCCGCCTATACTTTTTGCCTGGTTACTGACCAATCAGCGTTTTTATTAAACCAATAGGAGTGACAAATTTTCACAGTGTATAAGAGCACTATCCTACAGCATTCTTTATGTGTGCATATGTGTGTATACATATTCATATGTGTATATGTTGGGGGCACATATGTGTACATGCATATGGGGGCCTGAGATGGATGTCAGAAATTACGAGCAGGTTGCCCACCAAACATTTCCATGGCTTCTGGGAATTCAAACTATTGTCTTCTTACTCGTGCAGTAAACATAGACTGAACAGGGACTCACAGATTAAATGATACCCTCATGTGCTACCAATTGAGCCATGCCGGCCTATTCTTTTCCCATCTCACAATAGGGATTAAATTTCAACTACATAAAGTCATGGAGTCATTCAAATAAAATCCTACCTGTAGCAGTAGACAACTGGGAAGTATCCTGGGGAGGCATCCTGGTGCTGCATGTGAGGTATAGGATGGGTATCCAAGGAACAGAAGTGTAGGCAGCACCTGAACAGAAAGATCCAGAGCATGGAGGGTGCAGTAGGCAGAAGGTGAAGCCTTTTGTCAAATTGCCTTCATTTCCTCCTTGAAGTAAACAGCAGGGCTTTTGGCTCAGAGTGTGGAACAAGGAGGGTGTCTGAGGACAGAAGGTGCAATTTAGTTATTTCAGAGTGTGGGAAAGGAAAGTCCCCGGGGATATGCAGAAGGACAGTGCTGAGAGCCCACTGGAGACTTAGGATCATAAATTTAGAGTGGCGACAGTGTAGCCTGGTTATTTTAGTTCAGCATGGCAAATAGGAGAGGAACTGTGCTTTGCCAGGAAGTCCCAGGAACCAGGTGAGGGGCGCACGTATACAAACCATGGTGTCTGCTGTAGCTGGGTAGGAAGGGTGTGAGGACAAGATGGAACTGTGAAAAAGGAGACTAGGGGGCCAAACTGAGTCAAAGAATTGCTCAAATATGGTTATTGGAGCCCATAAACTAGAAGAGAAAGAAATGTTGGACAGGAAGTAGGGTGCAGGACAAGAGTTCAGAAATGGCTTTGGTATCTGGTGTTCCAAAGGTCTAGGGTACCCACACAACAATGGGGAGGTTCAGAGACTAGGGTCTCAGATGGGCCACTTACCTACCTGATCGCTAAATTCCTTAGCAGTGTTAACAGTGGTGGGGTGGGGGTGGAGAGTTGTGAGTCAAACGTGTGGGACTCTTGGAGCGTGAAGGAGAACCAGTCAGCAGGAAGGCGCGAGGCGGGGTGAGCATAGCCTGGGGACAAGGTCTAAAGCTGCAGGCTGTGGGGAGAGGCCGACTAATTTAGGGACCGACGCCCGCTGCTGACTACACGTTCTCAGTTCCACCCTGGAGGCGCAGTAAACCTCATCCCCTCTGGAGCGAAGGGGCATCCAGGGTAAAGGATTTATTCAGGGTCCTGAAGTCAGAAGGAAACAGGCATCAGCCAGACCTTTTATTTCCGTTTCTCTGCTTCCCAAATACCAAGCCAGTGTTTTGGATATTTAAAAGAACATATAAAATGCCCTTGTTCGCCGCCGCCTTTACACAACCAGTGCCGCTCAAGGACAGGGCTGTGGTAACCATGGCAGTGAGCAGAGGGTGGTGAAGAGGTGGTTTTTAAAATGGGGTGAACCTCAGGCAGGCAGCACACAGAGCTGGAACCTCTTGTCCTCTTTGGGGCCCTTTGTTCATTCAGCTTAACTGTAAGGAAAAGCTGAATTCCTCCCTGCCGGGAAGCAAGCCTGAAAGGGAAGGGTTTGCCTCTTTCGAGGTGTGTCCCTGGGAATAGGTTTTCGGGGGCCAGTAGGGAAAGTTGGGGCAGCCGGCATAAACAGGACAGTCTGTGGTGGCGAAGAAGCCAGCTCTCTTGCTCCCTGGGTGTAGAGTTCTTAGGATCTGTCAGCTGTCACACCACCTCTTTCCAGACAGGTGGCCGCTCATGGGGGTGGCCCAGAAGCCTGGCCAAAAAGGCTGCCAGGCCCTGCCTTCGCAGGGAGGTATGGGGGAGCAGAGCAGATGAGGGTAGAAGAGACAACAGCCAAGGAGAGAGCCGCTGGCTTAGGAGCCTCAAGGGCCGTCCTTCCGAAGACGCGCCCCAAGCGGTCGCAGGGCAGGACAGGGCAAACTAGGGCCACATGGGCACAGGGAAGTCCCATGACTGCAGTGTTTCGCCGCAGGTTTCCCAGCTGCTCCAGGCAGGAGGGAGGCAGGCCCGGTGATGGGCGAGAGGAGGAAGAGAGAGGAGGAGGGAAGTAAACAAGAGACCACGGAGAGAGCCAGTTCCCGGTGTTCAGAGAACACCAGCCGCCTCCGGTCCCGGTGGGTGGCTGCATGTGTGGAAATGAAACAGGGAGTAGGAGGGAGAGTGAAGAACAAGCACACTCTTTTTTTGCCTGTCATCCACTCACCTCGCCTTCCCGACCCTGCAGCCCACGTCCCTACTGGGGTAGGGGCGGTAGAAGGTGGGAGGAAGACAGTTCGCCAAGCACCCACCCCCTAAGTACGAGCAACTGTCGGTGAATCAGAACTGTTTCAGCCGCCTGTCACCTGCGCTCACTCGGGAGGGGAACGTGGCATCATCCTTGGGACGTGGAACTGGCGACAGGAGGGGGCGGGGGACCCAGCGGTCAGGACGTGGGTGTGTCTACCTCCCAAAGTCTAGAGGGGACATCGGAGAGAATGGGTGGCACCAGGGTCGGGGAGGGGGGCGGAGAACGACGGGACACTTGGAAGCAGGGGAGGCGATGAGAGAGGGCGGGAGTGTCCTGTGGTGGGAAGCGCCGGGGAGCGGCGCCGATACTGAGGGGCGGCTGCTGCTGCCGCCAGTGCGCGGGGTTATGCGAGGTAACCGAGCCTGGAGGAGGAGGGAGGCGGCGTGGGCCGCGGGCCGGGGTGTCTGGCGCTCGTTGGACAAAGAGATGATGAAACGTGAGCGCTATATTTACCAAGGGGGTGGAGACGGGTGGGAGGGGGGGTAAAAAGGACAAACTGTTCCACAACAACCACAGGAAACACAGCCCTTCTGACTCACCCAGAGGGCCGCGCCGACCCCTGTGCAAGCTTAGCCCCGAGGCAGTATCGGAGCTGGGGGGGGGGGGGGGGGCGGGGGTCGGAGGAGAGGGGCACTGGTACCGAACCGAGCCCGAGTACCCGGGCTGGGAATGGTTTGACTTATAAATAAAAGGCACACACTGGGTCGAAAGGCTGCAGGCGTGTGCACGTAGCTTTTATGGGGCAGGGGAAGGCGCGGAAAGATATTACTGTTTTTTTAGCCGCGTGGCCGGGTCATCGGGGGAGAGATTGTGCCTGCAGTCGCCGAGAGCACGATTCCTGCAAAGTCATCTTCACCCGCACAGCCTGGTCGACCGGTCAGCCCGCCCCGCCCCGCCCGGAGACAGCAGCACCAGCCACCCCCACCCCGCGCTTTGCTCGCAGCGCCCAGAGTTGGGGTGCGGTGCTGACTATGTTTAGAGGCTGATGTCATCGTGACACCCTACTCTGCAGTGTTCCCAGGGGTACCGCAGGGCAGGTTTTCCTGATCTTCGAGGATGTGGGGGTGGAAGGTGGCTTGCCTTCTCAGCACACCTCACACCCATGGTACCCCAGAGAGTTAAAAAAAAAAATCTCTCTAGAGTTATGAAACAGGGCGGTGCGCGCACGTGGAGGGTGCAAATCTAGTGGCTAGCGCCCCGAGGGGCCAGCAGTCCTCCCTAGTTGCTCCACCCCCAGCTCAGGTATGGGGGCTAATTTCAAGGTTAGCTCACGTGGGCGCGGGCGCCCGGAGCTCCTTGCACGAGTTTGGGGCGGGTTCCTCGTCCCCCAATCTAGGGCAGTTTGTTCAACTGCAGCAAAGGGAGCTTGATGTTCCAGCAGGGAAGGGATTTCTGAGAACTGGGACTGTCCTCAGATGAACCTGCCTCCTCCGGCTGCTGCTGCGGCGGCCGCCTGCGGAAGACTTTTTAAAAGGGCGATGCCAGGCCCAGACGCTCGGCGCGCAAGTGGCTGAACCGCCCGCCACTCTGCGGCCAGAGCAGAGCACCCGCCTCCGAGCAGCGAGCTGGGCCGCTCTGAGCACAGGGGGCTGCGGGCTAAACTTATCCTCCTGCATATGCATGAACGGATGGCCTTTCCGCTCTGCAATGGAGAGGCCTGGAGTTTTGCGGTAGGCTGCTGAGTGGAGAGAGAGAGAGTAAAGTAGGGCGTCGTGTAAGTTTTCGCGCTTGCCGGAGCTCCCCGCCCCCTCCAGACACTGGGTGTTAACTCAACCTGGCCACAAGCAGTTCGCCAGATCCGGCTTTATCGGATTGTGTTTCAGTTCCAGGGACATCACTGTAGTGGAGAGTCCACTCCTTCACTCCTGTCTATGTCCTCGCTAAGCCCACCAACTTCCCAAATTTTGCTTTCAGTAAAACGAACGTAGCTTTCCCCAGTAGGCCCTTTAAGTGTACTGGGTGGGATCGCAAAAGCTGCAGAGCCCGGGCCTGGAAAGGGAGAGGTGTGGATCCTGCTCAATGTGAGGTCTGACACGTGATCCCCTACCCCCAGCGGGCCATCTGTTCTTCTTCCTTCCCGCCGGGAGGCTGGCAACTCTGTCCAGGCACAGTCCACGCCTCCCAGCAGGAAAAGACAGCGAAAAGCCAGAATCCGCAGAGCCCTGAATCTACAGCATATGAATTTAGGCTGAACTTCGGGCCTAGAGCAGGGGCCATACCTGGCCATCTGTGTTTTAAACGGAGTGCCAGGTGATTAGCCCCACCCACCAAGGTGGGGAAGCCCTGCTTCGGGTCTAAATAAATCTCCAGGGAGGAATCAGCAGCATTAGCCTGGAAATACCTTATTGGGGCTTACCTAGGAAAACGAACAGATTCTAAGCTTCCAGGCCCTACCTACAGACCAGTGAAAGAAATGGGTGGTGGTGAGATTATGAAATTAGGAAATAAGGTATGTTAACTTTAGCTTTTGGGAGGTGCTACAGTTGGAGACTACCTTAGGATCCTGTTTTTAAAAAGAATTAATTTGGGGGGAAAATGCGTTCTCGTTAAATACCGGATTAAGGTTCTCCAACCTTCACTGCGGTAACCCGTGGTGTTAGCAGACAAGGTGAGCCTGAGAGAGCAAATCTTACTCTAGGAGCCTTGCCCCAGGATCTTTGAGACAGTCTCCAGCATTCCGGTACTGGATTCCTCAGTCTCCCTTCCTCTTCCTCCCTAGTACTGGGATTACACCTGTCCTTTAGGGACTTTTAAAGACCCCTGCGTGGCAGGAGTTTGAGTCTCCAGTGTTAATCTAATCCTATCAGTCGGCAGATAAGGAGGTGGCTCAGAGGGTTAGGTGAGGTCACAGGTCTCTTCTTAGGCCCCAGAGGCCTATAGCCTTCAGGCACTGTCTTGTACTACATCATTAATGATAATTACTTTAGGAAGCCTTGTAAAAAACGGCTCATTGTTCTGACTACAGGCTGGTAAACCAGAGCCTGGAGAACTTGGATAATAAAACATAAACTCAGGGAGAGTGCAGAGAGGCAAACAATATAAACAAGAAGCAGTTATAGTCTCGGAACTCCACTGTTCCTCTGGGTGGGGATATTTGGAGTAGAGATGTATAAAGACTAACTTGGGAAAGCATAATATTAATGGGGTAAATTGCCAAAATTTAATTGAGACAACCACATGCTGGCTAAATAGCATAAGCTGGTTTTAATCATAAAACTATTATAGTACATTCCAACACAGCAAGGAAAATATTGTTGAAAAATACAAGGGAAAAATCATGATGTAGGATTTATTACCTGTGCTATCAAACACATGTATTTTTTTTAACACGTAGTACTCCTTTAGGACAGACTCCCTTTGTATTTCTGACCTCATGCATGTCTCGCAGTCAAGAACATAAATATCTGAGAAGGAATGGTAAGGAAAGGGTCTATGGTGCACAATGCAAGAATTGCTGGATTTGAAAACTTTCTCTAAATCAAGTAGCAGTTTGTTTGCAAATCTGTGAGAGAAATTCACACGGATGAAATCTGCTTTCTCCATCTTTATTTTTTTATTTTCATTTTTTTGAGGCAGGGTTTCTCTGTGTAAAAGCAGTAGCTGACCTGGAACTAGCTCTTGTAGACCAGGCTGGCCTCGATTTCACAGAGATCCTCCTGCTTCTGCCTCCCGAGTTCTGGGATTAAAGGCGAGTGCCACCACCGCCCGGCTCGATCTTTATAACTGAATCGAGGGTATCAGAGAACTCAGTCCAAACTACATGAAATTAAAGGGCACTGAAGAGAAGGCAGAAAGAAGTAAGGAAATTTAGAGATTAAATATAAAAAAAACCTCTGAGGTTACTGTATTCAAATTCAGGCCCATAATCTTTAAGGAAAGATGCAGGCTTTTCTTTTTCTTCAACTTTTTTTTTTTTCTGAGAATAATGCTGATCTTAATCTTAAAGTTTTTGTTAGCCACTCAGCCCTAGACCAGAAGAGACTTTGATGAGTGTAACTCATGCCTGTGGAAACACAGGTCTAGGAGGCTGTGTAGGCACTGATCAGGAGGCTCCTGGAGGAAGCCAACTGGTTATCTGTGCTGTGTCCTAGGAGGCAGGCAGAGGTGCAAATTCCAAGAATCATGTATCTTAGGGACAGAGTTTATATTCTACAAAAAAAGATCACAAATTAGGTAAAAATCAATCCCTCCTCCTTCCTTCCCTTTATTTCTTTCCTTCCCTCTCTCCCTCCCTTCCTTTCTTTCTTTTTTGGAGAAAGGCTCTCACTCTTTAGTCCAGGCTACCCCCAGGCTGGTCTCTTCAAATGCTCCATCCTCCTCAGTCCCTAACTAGGACTTCAGGTGTGCACCATCATGGCCAGCTCCTGGGAATTCTTCCCTGAAATTAAGGATCTTAGAATGCAAAAATAAATAAATAAATCCAAGATGGCTTCCCTGTTACAGTGTGAACTATACATCTACTTGCATAAGGGTGTGGGTGTGGGCCTGGCACAGAGCAAGACTCCATTCTTTCATGGGGTGGGATACTGATGTGATGGTGGTAATTCTCCACAGGCCAGTCCCTCCTTTCTACTGGTTCTTTCCCCAGGAAATGATCTTGTGTGGTCTTTCCCGCAGCACTTTAGAAGCCAAAATAGTCTGCTCTAACCTTCAAACTGGAAGGATTCATCTGAAACCCAGAAGAACCCGGTGGAAGCATCCCAAACCTTGAAGATGAATCAGTAGTGGGAGTCAGAGTTAGATACTGTAAAATTAGCATCTCATAGAAACATGAGCCTTTCATACACAGAATAAGTAGACAGATTTTTGAATCAGCAGTGCTCCTGCTAGCATGTCCCTGTTATGGATAATGGCCTTTGATTCTTTGCTCAGCTACAAAGATGGAAAAACAACCCCAGCATTCATGGCAAACCCACACTAATTGTTAATCAAGTAATGCCACAAGATTCAGTTAGTAAGGATTTCTGGCTGATTCCAGTTCTTAAGAATCTATTTAACATAGTTAATATTTCACAGGGGCTTGGTTCTTCTAAAGCCGAGCTGGGAATCAGGAACCCTGTGGTTTCTATTGAGTTCTGCCACTATCTACCTGATAAAGCAGAAAAGCCTTGCTTGTTCTTCAACATTTGTAAAGCAAGAGGAAGGAAATGTGCCCGGAAGGAATTGGGAGGAGTCCCTGAAAAGAAAAGGATTTTTAAAGTTATGCAAATGAAGAGTTTCGCTTCCCTGGGTTTAGTGACACTCGGGGCAGTAGAAACACTGGGGCAGAGCAAAATACCAAGGCGTACATTGAATATGGAACCAGATCTTTTGTTAGCTGTGGTTTTTTTTTCGATGAATTTCTAATAGTTTATGTATGGGACGAGGAACTTTTAATCATCTCCAAAGTGCTGCAATTCAAACAAGAACAACAAGAACGAATAGATTCTGTCGCTTCAGAGTTTGTCCTTGGACGACGTGACCTGCCATACTGAGGGTTTGTTTAAAACTATAGATTCACACTGCATTTATTAATCACCCATCCTCCCATCTATATTTCAGGGTTACCACCAGCAACGCAAAATGTAAAGATCTGTCCAGTTTCACACCAGCTCTGCAGGTTTACAAGTGTCGGGCGCTAGCTTTCGGAACGCTCTTCTGATTGGCTGAGCCAATGCCAGTGACATCAACCAACTTACTTTTGATTGGAAGGCTGGTTGCTGGGACTGTAGCGTTTGCAGGAAGTCACTTAACTGTTTGAGGGCTGGAAACCTGAAGCTGAAGTTCTGTTTCGTCCCTAGGGACGGGTGCAACCGCCTGGGGGAAGACACGTCCCCAAGCCACGCCAGCCGGCACGTGGGCCGGGAGGCGTGGGCGCGCGCGCGCGGACCGGGCGGCATCCGCGGGAATGCGCCGCCCGGCTCGGAGCAGTTTCCCTTTTAAATGTCAGCGTTCGGGACTGGAGGGGCAGCACGCGGCGGCGGAACGGAACGGTCGGATTGGCCGCGCGCCGTAGTTCTAGACGCACCTCTCCACCGAAGGGCCCTTCTGACTGGCAGGGGGAGAAAGTAAACAGAGTTGAATCACCCTCCCCACTGGCCAATTGGAGGGGGCCTGGACTGTGACGTGATGGGATTCTGCGAAATTGTTACTGAGCTGGAGAATGCCGGAGCGGCGCGGCGCGGCAGGACCAAGGGCTCGGTGGCCGTCGGCGGACGCGGGAAGAAGTGTCTTCTAAGCGCGGCGTCCCGCTCGACCCCCGCCCCCCGCGTCCGCGTACTCGGCTGATGCCCCAGGGCGTGAGCTCGGCGGAGAGGCGGCCGAGGGCGTGCGCCTGCCTGGCAGTTGCCTTTCCCCGCGACTCGGACGCATTTGCAGTCGAATAAACTTGCGACCGCCACGTGTGGCATCTCTCC